AAAGAGTTCAGTTGTTTTTTCCTGGTTATTTTACTTTATTGGTTTCTCAGATTGCTTTGTTGCTGCTTTATTTTCTATTCAATAACACATAATAATATATGTATATACATACTACATAGGATTCTAATGTTTCACGGTAAAAAAGATTTCATTAACTAAAGTTGGGGCCGCAGCCGACCGTGCTCAGTTTCTCAAGCGTCGTAAATACTCTTCTATAACTGAAAATTATGAGTTTGTGCCGTTAGCTTTCGAGACGTTAGGGTCGTGGTCGGCTGACATGAAGCGGTTTATGAAGGATAATTATGTCGAATCGACTGATTCTCTCACTTAATTGACTAACTAAAAAATAAACTCTTTGCTATTCTTACCAAGTTAATAACGATCGATTCCTAGTACTTTATCATACAAAGAATAAGTTTACATAGCAGTTAAACTACACTTTAAGGTTTATTTAAATTAAAACAATTACCTCTTTTCCTCACTCTTTGTGTCTGTCTTTAAATATTAAATCTATAAAGTCACAATACATGTGCGTGCGCACGTTAAGAGGGGAGAGAGACGCCCCGCCCCTCTACAAAATGGCGCTGTAGATGTAAAAGTTACCTAACATGATATTATCATTATACCTATTATTATTTGTTTCTTAGGTTTTTACACACATCACTCATTAAATAAAACAGTTTTAAGGTGTTATATACACTGATTTTATATGTTTATTGACGTTGCGCATCATTGTCAGGAATGCGTCGTCGGAATAATGATTATTTTTTTACTTTGTGTAGCTACCTTCGAAAGACTTTTATAGAGCGTTCCAATATTTCATTGGAAGATTTTTAAAACTTTATTGTCTATGGTCGAATTTATTAGCTTATTTAATTAATAAAGTAATTTATATAATTCTTTTTTATAATTTTGAGTTTATTTATTTGACCCCAACTACCGTAAACTACCACCGGTTCCAAAATTGAGAGACCTTTCTGAGAAGAACCGGCGAAACCAACTCAGGGAGGCTTTCTATCTCCCTCTTATGTTAAATCATTCAAGCAAAAAGAAACGTCAATAAATAAATAAATTCAATGATATTATCATTTAAGTGTATTATAAGCAAGAAGGTTTTGTTTTCTTTTCCGACAAACCTTAGTTATTATACAGCTTTAGGTACTTAAGCTTTTTATGAGTAATGGACATTAATCTCCAACATCGCCGGTGGTAAACGAAATGCCCTCATTGTTACTACAAACAAAAGTATCGCGGATTAACTCAGTACCTATTATCTAAGTAACTTATTAATGATAACACAGATTTGCGAAAAAGAACACTTTTTAAAGATAAATAGAAAAGACAAAAGAATAACATTTGAATGTGGATTGCTCTACTTTAAACCAAAGATGGATAATACTACCTGTGTGTATGAGTGTGTAGGTATTTTAGCAAATGTGGTATTATTATAAGTGCGGTTGGAAATTCAATTTTCGAAAAACTCCAGGCATTCATCTGTTACGCAGTAATAGGTGTTGGGTATCACATGAGTCTTAACCATCTGCTCATCTTAATAAGAACGTTTAAATTACTTTAACTGAAAGTTTGACGTGACCCTTTGGTAGTTAAGAAACCTATCTGTTATTTAGTTTCCTTCTACGATGCGATACAATTTGTGATACCCACTATTTAAGTTTTTATTATTTTAGTATTAGATTAGGTAATACTCCGGAAGTGTGTTTGTTCTCCGTGGTAATTTACCTGGTATTTTTGGAATCGTTCAATTAAAGCTTATGCAAATTTAAACAACATACTAATCAACATTTTGCCTCACAGAGAATGTATAGGGTAAATAATAACGTAAATATTTAAGATAAAAAAAAATGTCAACCATAGAATATACAAATACAGTCCAAAGAAGTTACCCAGTTTATAATATTTTGATAAAACTGCTTCGGATACGAAATTAAGCACAAATAAAATTTATTTGGCTTAGATTTAAGAAGTACGTACATGTACTATAAAATGATATCATGTGCCAGACCCGAGGGTATTCCAGCATATTTCGTGAAGCCGTTATACTTTATCTATGATTTTCAGTTCCTTATTACTTTTTACAGTTGAATTTCATAGTCACTCACAAGGTACTTGAAAATTCGGTAACGAAAATTTTAAGTAGAAATTAGTGTATTGATGATAAATCATGTGTGAAAATATTTAGGTCCACTAGGTCATAACCTTTCTTTAGGAACTTCAGACCATCAGTTGCTCAGAAATAGTAGAGAACGTAGTAGTGACAGATCGTTGTTATTTTGTTTTTGTTCTCTATAACATAGGTCAAGATAAAAAACAAAATGACAACGTTTTAACCTATTATCATTAATAAAAACTATGGTCACAGTAATAAATAAAGACGAATAATACGATTATTATACTTAATAGATACCTAATATTGTAACAAACAAAATATGTTTTGGGTTACCTATGCGAAGAAATGGCGCTGCCTTGCAGCTTAAGAATGGCTAGAAGAATTTCGACGGGCCGCGGTAGCATAATTGGTCAGTGCATTCGCCCGGATAGCGAATGGTACGGGTTCGCATTCCGTCTGCTGCCTGATCCACGTGGATTTTTTTCTAATTATATTTTCTTTAGATTTAAACATCAAGCAGTTACATGCTTAAAAAATAAAAATTTTAAATATGTTTTTTAATGATATTTTACATGTATTTAACTACAAGCAATATAATGATTAAATTTCAATTAGGTAATGACTATTAAAATAATGTTACCTACTTACATGTCACTTACTTTAGTTACATACAGTAATTACCTATATTGCTTGTAGTTCAATACACGTAATTTATCAGTAGATAACATAGGTATTTTGTTTTTTTAATTTATGAGCCAAAATGATATTAACATATTAGCTATTAAGTATAAGTCATATTATTCGTCATTGTTGATTTCTGTGACCATCGTTTTTGAAGAATTTCGCGTACTATAAATGCAGAAAGCAAAATAATCAGCAAACATTTCATTCCTCCACAAATTTGGCCGACATTTGATTATTCTGCATGATTGTGTGTGTATTTTTATTTTATGGAAATTTAACTTATTCCTTATAACTTCATTATTATATTCAATAAGCACGCGATTTTATCTGCGTTAATTTAAAAGAAAATACTACTAAAATATGTATATGCCATTACTTTAAGAGCACGCGGGGGTTAAGACTCATGTGATTTTACATAAAAAATAGAAGAAAAAGGGAGGCTTCGTCAAGTATGGCATGTAAACAGACACTCTGCAGATAAAACTGCATTCAACAGGCCAGCAAAAGAACTTCACCAATTGCTCCACGAAACAGAGAATGCCACCACCCAAGCACAAATCGTAAACTTAACAGCCACAAACGTGACTAACTATATCTGTGGAGAGTGTGTAAAACCGCAATAGTGTCCAAACCCCCAATTCGCTTAAGACATAGTAAATGAGCTCGTACTCCTCAAGAAAAAGCGAATGCATTTGCAAATCATCTGGCATCAGTATTTAAACCAACCGAAGAGCAGGATGATTTAGATTACTCTAATGTAAACGCAATCCTCCATCAAGATTTCCAACTTGATTTACCAATACGGCCTACAACTCCAAAAGAAATTAGTACTCTAATCAGAAACTAATATATAAACTAATAACCTAATAGATAAAAATTGTTATGGTATAAATAAAATGTAAAAAACCAAGTCTAATTCTAGTATATTCTATTGTATTGTGATTACTTTAATTTAACTGATATTAAGCATCTAGTAGCGAAATGCTTAAAAATATAAAAAAATAAGCATTTAACTACTAGATGTTTAATATCAGTAAAATTATAGTAACCGCAATAAAATAGAATATTCTAGAAATAGACTTGGTTATTTACATTTTATTTATTGAAACTCTCTTAGGTACATGAAATTCCCTTCGGCTTATTACCGTAAATTTTTAAGAGTTAATGAAAAAAAAATCAAATTGTATTTATTTTTAAATTACCATTTTATTTTATGAAAATCATCAAAATAAAAGTAAAGCTTAATTAATACCAATGTTAATATTGAAGTTACAAAAATATAAAACAGGTCCAAGCGGTCTTTCCCTTTTTAAGGAACTGTCAAAGAGGCTCACTGAGGTGACTGGTGATCAAAAAGCTTGCAGCTATCTTGGTCAACGGATCGGCTTTGCCATCCAAAGTGGCAATGCTGCCAGCCTATTGGGCACCATTCCTGACGGCGGTGCTGGAGGTGACGTATTTATTATTTTGTAAATTATATATTATTTAAGTAGTTATGTAGGTTAAGGTAATTTGTATTGCAAATATTAGACATTATGTAGTTTTTAACCTTTTGTTATTTTACATAACAAATAAATAAGCTTAACTTTTAACTTTGTATATAAATCTATAAAACGGTATCTTATTTTTCTGTCTTGTTACCATGGACGGCACCTGAAGAAGATAGAAAGTACTTATGTTAAGTTTTTATAAAAGCTACCATAGAGTTTATATTTAAAAACTAAATTAAGCAGATGGGATAAAATAAATTTAAAAAAGTTTAGATTATCTGTGATCAGTAACGCACTCTTATGCCATTACTATCTTTCGTCAAATCAAGTAATGAACCAGATACGATATACAGAACAGTAAATGTAACATACTCATACAGAGATGCTATTCGCTGACATAAGGAAATAGATAACTCAACCTTGAATGAATCGACCGACGACGGCGAAAAATTCAAAAACTAAGTAGTAAACTATTTCTATTCTCATAAAATATTATTGTGGTAGAATAATAGTATAAGTAGTTTTAAAAGAAAATAAACGGTGTATTTAGAATAATTCAGATTGTAAATGATAAAATAAGTAGAAACTAAAACATTTTATCGACAATTTCTAGATATTAAATAGCAAAGGTTCAAATACCTGAAAAGATAAACCTCGACGCATCTGATACGCGAGAGGACGGTGGGGGCACACAAGAATCACGGCTGCAGAAGGAAGTTGAGGCAATCTTGGGGCCACGACGGAATCTTAAATAAAATATAATAATAATAACAATGATTTATTTCCAAATTAATATGGATCAATTAATAGTAACGTTACTGATTTTGTAGGTTTTTAGGAAATTCAACATATGATTAATTACCTCGTCATCAGGTACCATATCTAGGAGTGCTTCTAACTGCCTCAGCTGTTCTGGCGACAGTAAAGAATCCATTTCTGTGAAACATTCGCAAATTAAATTATATGATGATTTGAGAGGCACTTAGTGTGTTAAGGGCCCTATCAAATTGTTTTGTCAAATTTGTTGAATCGTAACAGGCTATGTTTGAGGCATTTGACAAAAATAAATTAAACGTCTAGTACTGCGTGTTTTGTCAAATAAGACTCGTCGTGTCACCTCGTCAGTCGTTGTTGTGGTATCATCTCAAAAAGGGCCTCGCTTGAGTCTGATCTGTAGTTTGATCGTCTAAGCTACTGTTTGATGATATCGCCAAGTGTATCAAGCAAGTGTGACAAACAAATTTATTTCCATCAGGCGAGATTGTGGTCAAACAGCTTATTTAACAGTAAAAAAAAATCGTTAGAGTCTGTGCGGAAAGAGAATGTGAATTAGAATGGCGGGCGCATTAGTGCTTTTCTACCGTATTTGTAAGGTTTTACCCCTTTTAGACATGATTAAATACAAAAAACCGCAAGAAATCACAACAACAAACAAATCCGTATTAATACAAAAATTTGACGTTTTACAGATTGCTGGGTTTGGTTGCCAAATAAAAATCTTAATGTTAGTTCCGTTTTTCGCCACGCCCATTTTCTTTCCGCACAGACTTCTAACGGCCCTTTGAATATATTATTTATTGTACTATGGCCAGTTTTTAGAAATACCAATGAAACAGGAATCTGAACACAAATCACCGAGACGTTAACTTTGTTTCCGGTAGACTGGTAGAGAATGCCATACTAATATTAATTTCCCCATTTGAATTGTGAAGGCAATAAAGATTAAATGAAATAAAATAAATGGGTAGATACGAGATTATTTCTGTATGAGATCAAAATGACGTAACGGGCTTGTGGTGGACCAGTGGCTATGAGTAAATATATATGTGTCGCTACTTCGGCACCGTCATATCGTTCTCCGTTGACGTCCCATTGGCGGCCGCGTCTAACAAACGGCCTAAGACCATCTCATACAGAAATTATCTCGTTCTCATTTATTCTTCCTTTATTGCCTTAACAATGAAAATGGGGGACTTAATACTAGTGTGGGATTCTCTACCAGTCAACCTGAAAGAACGTTTACGGACACGGAGGACAGTCGACTTAAGGTACCAATGAGTTCATTATAATCAAGTTATAAAGTACCTCCAGCGCCAGCGGCAGGTGGCTGGTATGGCGGGCTGGCCTCGGGTTCGGTCTCGGGCGACGACTGAGCTATTGGCGAGAGAACTAACAATAGCTCCTCTTCCGACGCAGACTGCTGCTCCTGCGCATACACAATACAATTAGCCTAGCCGTAAAGTAAGCAATATAAAGCCGTTTGTCCAATGCCGCCGTATGAAATCAAGACGACGTGACGGGCTTGCGGTGGACAAGCAGCTATAGTAATGACTCAGCGCCATCGTCTCGTTCTCATTGACGTCCTGGTTACGGCCGCGGTGGACAAACGCTCTAAGACTTGTGCTATGGGATACTAGGGTAACAGATAGAATACATATACTGATACATATATAAAATTCTCGTATCACGGTGTGCATAATTTAACTAAAAGGAAACGGCGACCGATTTTCTTGAAATTTTATATGCATATTCAGTAGGTCTGAGAATCGGACAACAATCTATTTTTCATCCCCCTAAATGTTAAGGGTGGTGGTCGGGCCTTATTTTTTTATGACAAAATTTTTCGTTTTTATTTTTTTATGATACATCATACAAAAATACATACAACCCTAAATTTTCACCCTTCTGCCACCAACCACAATTTTTGTTTATGGCGTTACGAAGATCGCTGGGACAGCTAGTTTTAGTATATTTATATAGAAATATTGTAAACATCCATGGCTTAGAGACAAATGCTCGTATTCATCATACTATCAATTGCCCCACCGAGCTTCTGAGTAGGCGACACCTTGAAACAAAGCACTCGGCCAGAGAGGTCGTCACACAACATATAATATACCTATAGGTATTAAATCGCAGTTAGGAGTACAAATTTCTTACTGAGGAAAGCCTCGCACGTTTAGCAGACTGCAAGCTTGTTGTGGCTTCCTGGTCCAGCAGATTCTCGTCCTGGACAAACACAGCACAAAACTAATGAATAAAATTATCTCTCAAAACTGATTGAATCGCAGTTTTTAGTGCATGTTACTTACAGAGGATAGCCTCGCACGTTTAGCAGGCTGCAAGCTTGTTGTGGCTTCCTGCTCCAGCAGATTCTCCTCCTGCACAAACACACCACATAAACGAATGAATAAAATTGTCTCTCAAAGGGATTAAATCGCAGTTTTTAGTGCATGTTACTTACAGAGGAAAACCTCGCACGTTTAGCAGGCTGCAAGCTTGTTGAGGCTTCCTGCTCCAGCAGATTCTCCTCCTGCACATGCCCAACACAACGACTTATGAATAATAATATCTCTCATAGGGATTCAATAGCAGTTCTAAGTCATTAAACTTACACAGGAGAAACTATCTCTTATAGCAAACTGCGAGCTTGTTGCCGCTTCTAGGTTTAGAATTTCCGCCTGCAATAAAAAAATTTTTTGAGAACCAATCTATTTCATCCCATGGTATAGGATATTATATTTATTCGAGGTGCACTTACGCTATGCGACGGCTCCTCTCCCTCGCACTCCTCCTCTTCGGTAGCGGCCAGTAAAATTGCCCGCTGCCGTTCTAATTCTTTGACTAAAAAACAAGGTATCTATTACAACAACACATTAAGCTTTATCATACCAGTCAAACATATATAATGAACTAGCGGCCGCCCGCGACTTCGTCCGCGTTAACTTCACTTTTTTGAGAATCTCACAGGAACAGAAATAAAAGGTATCCTTTGTCACAATCCAGGTCTTAAACTATCTGCGTTCGAAATTCCATCCAAATCCGTTCAATAGTTTAAACGTGATTGAGTTACATGACATACAAATATACAAAAGAAAACACATTTTTTATATTAGTCGGATTTTCGCTAACTTACTTTCTGCTTCCAAGGCATCGTTCGTGGCTTGTATTTCACTAACGGGTTCTTTTTCCCGTTCACGAATGAAATGCGTGAGAGTTGCCGCCAATAGATGTGCAAGCTTTACCTGCAATATATCAAAACAGTGAGCATTCAGACGTATAACTGACAATTGTTTCAAAAGTCTATAAGACCAGAAAGAATCATGAGACCACAGTAAAATGACACTACCTTTTGGTGGTGTAGTGTTTTTGTCGGTGAGTAAGGTTCTAGGGATCCACTAGGTAGGGGATAATGTAAGCAACGGCGCAAGTGATATCTTTTTTATCGTCTTTTGTAGCGTCTGCAGCCTGGGTTCCAAACCTGGGGGTAATTACCCCTCCGGGAGTAAATCAGTCATACTTCGGGGGTAACAAAGAACCTAATTATGTGGTCAAATCTAAATAATAAGAAAATACTATATAATAATATTACTAAATAGAGCATGCGCTCCTTCTTGCTAGCGAGCCCGCGGGTTGCTGAGTGTGGGAAGCGGGGCGAGAATTTCTCCTGATGACATTAATAGAGAAGAAGATGTAGCGGCCAAATTGGAATTTCTTGGACTGATGATAACATTTTAAAGTCGGGGTAACATCTCTTTTCCTAATAGGTTACAGAGGTAGCAGTATTGGAAAAGTTAGGAAACACTAATCTACAGGCTATGGTGGCCGCTTACCATCAAGCGGGCCATAAGCAACAAGCTTATGGCATAAAAATTATGTATATTACTCACTTTTTCCTTCATCTGCATTTCGCTGGAGAGATCGGTCGTGGCTGTCGCGATACCGCCGCGCCGCACCCGCTCAAGCTCTGCATTGCGCGCGCGTTTCTGCTCCTGAAGATAATCGATGCTGATTATGCAAACACTTTCCTTATAGTCCACAATCACTGGCTCATATGAGTGTACCAACCTTATTAAATGCTTGGCGATTCCTGCCTGGTGGGCGACCGCGTTTCGGTGGCTGATAGTTGTTCTGAAATTTATAAGATTTTTAACGTTATAAACTTCACTTTACACTTACTGAAGATTCGATAAGGATATCACATTTTAACTAAGCACACACCTCTCTGTCTGCCATTTTGGCAGAAAAATAATAAAATGTAAATTTAAAAAACTCTCTACTCTAGGAGTACGCTCTACTCTAGGAGTACGTAACTAGTAATGAGTCGATGAGGTCCGGCTTAGGAGTTTATGTACCTGCGCGTACGCCCACCGTGTTCCCGCCCTTCCCCTACCCTTTCCCAGATAACATGACACTAATCGACTTTTTATAGTGTTTTGTAGTGCAAAGCTGTGAAGTCTTAGAAATTTATGGTCATATTGTCTCTCTAAGCTTTGTAAAAAGCTTAGGTAGATATTTAAGGATACCCACTCCAACAATTTAGGATATTCAAGAATTTTATTTATAAATTTTCACGTTTTCTAGACAGCTATTAGTTGAGTATCTAAAAAGGTTTTATTGCTCAGAACTTTATTAAATACAAGGGCACAACAGAAAATAACGAATAAATTGTTTTATTGAATAAAGATAAATTTAATAATTCATAACAAACGTTTATTTACTGACACAATGGATGGTGAATATTCGTTATTCGAGTAAGTTGTTACGAAATATGCGCTGTGGATCCAATGGAATCTCCGATGTTAGCTGTGCAAGTATTTGTAGTCTATAGGTATAGCTTGCAAAATCTCACCTTGCAAAATCTCAGATTTGTTTTTATCATTTCCTTTCGATCACCACTGCTACAAGTAGTACCTAGATGAAATAGTAATTATCATGTCCCGAAAAATATCGGTTATCAACTCAAACTCATGTATGTAAACAAATGTTGAGGACGCATCGCTATGTAGAGCATCGTAAAATAAAAATGAAATCGGCCAATCGGACTCGCGTACGAAGGGTACTGTAACATTATTTATACAATATTAGACCTTATATCTTGCGTATAAAATGGCAAATAAAACGTCTGTTGCGCGGGAGCTCCCCTTTAATATCTATTTTACTTTAATTTAATTTTTTATATTTAAACCGAATACACAACTAAAAATATTCACCCTGTTATCGAAACCACCTAAAATCACATACTTTTGAAATACTTCGTTTCCGAGCTTAAAATCGCAACAAACCGCGCAAAGAAAAATCATGTGTTTGTTTCCATCACAATTTACAAAGTAGGTACATTATGAATCGGCGTTTTCAGAAATTGACCCCGTTAAAAAAATTGGCTAAATCAGGTCTTGATTTCATCTCATTTTTGTTTTTAGATATTCAAGAATGGATCAATTTATTAGATATTTTTCATTAGATATTCAAGAATGGATCAATTCATTTCAATAATGGGTCCCGACTGTAAAGAAGCTTTGTTCCTTATTGAACAGAATTATGGAGTACTGGACTTGTTTTTTCTTTTCAGTTTTTATTTGAAGTAAAATTCAAGCAGTCGTGTTTTTTGATTATTTAAATTCACTTTTTTGTACAACGGCTTTACACAGATAGTTTTAATAAATCAGGAAAAGTACACTTAATAAGGTGTGTCAAACTAGGTGCTAATTCAGAAATGAGGGGTCTACTTTCAAAATCCACTAAAATCTTTTTCATTAAATATAAGCTAGCAAAAAAAAACACCTCATTTTAAATAAAAGGTCAGTTCAATTAAAGTAAGCATCATAAATTTTTAATTTGTGCTTTATAAACACTTTTAACATGATTTACCAAGGAAAACATGGATTTTAACTGATAAAGTGCTAAAAGAATTTTGTTTTTAGTGGATTTTGATGAGAACCTTTGATTATAGCGGGATTTGCAACGACTATTGTAAATTTTGGCGGGTTTTGATTTGAATAGATTTTGAGGTATGGATGGTTTTATCCTACATGCACGAATTAAAATAATCTACTGTGTAGATATTCTTATGTAAATATTAAAGTTAGGGTTTGTTAAAATATATTTTTGGTACTATCTGGTACTATCTGGTAGAAACCCATAATAACAAACAAGGATTTTTTTATCAAACATAAATTTAAAAAAAATCATAGGTACATACATTTAAACTTGCAAATTAACTTCTATCCCAACATGCTCACACATATTTTCTTCATCAACTACTTTTTTTATGAAGTAATTCAACATAATTAATGCACGTGCGTTTGATAATTTTTGAAGAAATAATATTTTCACAACACATGAAGAAATGTATTAATATGCCCCCTAGCTTTGCAAACTTCAATGTTTTAAAACAACACAATTTTATTAATTGGTGCCATGTACTGTGTTGGATCCTACGCCTTTACCCATCATCGCATCATTCTGCATAACACCTTTTAACAGACATCACCAAGTTGTTCACGTGATTTGAATCCTGTGCTGTGATTGGTCCGCGTATTTTTGGTGGATTATAGTGGAGTTTGCAACGAATACGAATTTTAGATCACTGTTTTTTTATAGAATTAAGTGGATTTTGCAGCTAAATATTTCGAGGATATGAATAATAAATATTCAGAAATATTTTGGAAGACTTAACTATTTTTTTGTCAAAAACCGTTTTAGCGGGTTTTGAAAGTAGACTCCTCAAATACAGTTTTTAATTATTTTTGTGCTTATGATCATGGCCTTCAGAATAAATGTGTTTTAATGACATCGTTTCTCTTTCCGATAAATCGATTAATCGATAAAATATACAAATTTCTCAACTAATACACAACGGAAACAATATTAAAAATTACTATGAGGAGAACTAAAATAAGTCATTTATAAGTAGATACTTTTTTTCTTATTTATAAATTACCTTTTTAGAATCTTAAATATTTAAAAACCAATTCAAATTTCGACAAACTGGCACCAGTTGAATTTCTCCCATATGTTCAGATTGAATCGGCGCGGCGTTTGGCTCAGCCGCCATCTTATGTATAAGGAGGCGGAGTCTTCACACCCACATCTTGCGTGCGCGCACATGTCATCCAATCACTGATTATAAATTATTTAACATCCTCGAGTGGCTTTACATGTAAATAAAAGTATTGCTTTGAAGAATTAGTAGGTATGTGTAATAAGGCAGTGACTGTTAAGCAGGGGAATAATGTACTTTTAAAAAAAAAACATTTTTGAATGCGTTATAAAGATAAATAACCTATAAAAGTTTCCATAAGCAACCAACCATACAAACAAAAATGTCATGAGCGAAAATAGGTCATTTAATAATTAACGTTAATCCTTTATCATTATGAGTATAGCAAAAAACATTAAATATAACAATAGGAGAAAATGTGTCTAAAGCAATTAACAAATATCATAATAATTAGGTCCTACGATAAGCTCCCTACCTAACACATTTTTTTGTAATAACATTATGTGTCATTAATTAATGAATGAAATATTTTTGCAGTGAAAAATAACGTGTGCCAGCTATTAAAAGATCAAACACCAGAACCAATTCAAATCCGTAATCATGTATAATATTCGCGGTATAAATTCTCCTACCAAGGCCGTGACTTAGCTGTGGGAAAGAAATAGTTGCATTTCAATATAACATACAATTTTTGAAAATCACATTTCTCATTCTTTTTTTATAATAACAATATATGTAGGTATTAATTCCAATCACATCAACATTTTCAATTAAGTACCTGCTTATTTGTTTCTTAGGTTATCACGCACACCACGCAATAAATAAAACACGTTTCAACGGTATAGATGCACATATGAATTCAAACTTTAAAAAGGAGCTATACATTTCTTAACTTATAGAATTATAAAAAGTTTTTTTATTTATTTAAACTAAAATAAGATTTATTCTAATAGGTACTTATACACAAAAAAAAATCTCCTTAACCATAATAGCATCAGAACAAGAAACTGAATTTAACCAAGCGCTTGTAGATGGCTGAAATGTTCTACCAAATCATCAATTACCTATGCTTATTAAAATACATAATATTTAGGAATCTATTATTCCACTATGATCACCTAAGTCATCATAAGCGACTCTTTATTGTCCTTTAATCACCCGCGAATATAATCCTCTAGGTTATTCAGTTTTTATTTGAAGTAATATTTAAGCAGTCGGGTTTTTTGATTTTTACATTTACCTTTTTTATTTCACACTTTTTAGTTAGGATTATAAGACGACCCTGCGATGGTCTAAACGATTGTTTTAATAACACATATAGAGACCATACTATCAGGGTCATAGCTACAGATGGGCTTCAATTTTCGCAAAAATGTGTAAAGTTAACTCATGATAACCGTTACCTGTATATATCAAATGCATGTAAATTTTTATCTTAACTAGTACCTATTCAAAAAGTCATCTTTTGCTTATATTCTTTTTAGTAGTTTAGGGATTTGTGAGTCAACTATCTAAATTTGGCAGTGGCTGCATTGTCAACGTTCGGCTCTAAGATTATGATATACTTACACAAATGCAATGCAGTGTCTTAACCTAGTCTCATAATTTGTTTTACCTACATAATTTACAGATAACAAATCTGCAGATGCCAGAGGTTAACCTTAAACGTTGTTAATTACCTTATATGCAGTACAAATCAATAACATTAATGTCGCATGTTGACGAAAGCAATTATTCCCGTCTATTGTTTTGGATACTTATGGCAACTGCCTTAGATTGCTAATTTAAATAATTATATATAAAGCTGATAAAAAACAACAATGCGACTACTAAACCTAGAACTTGTCTCCGTTTTATAAAAGCAACACCAGCTAAAGTACACAAAATAATTATGAAATTGAACACAAATAAAGCACCTGGTATTGACGCTATAAGAACGATAGATATAAAAAACGTTAGTGAAAAAATATCCATAGCTATGGCAAATCTTATAAACACCACATTACAGACTACTACATATCCTACTGAATTAAAAAAGGGATGTGTACGCCCAGTACTCAAAAAAAGAAAACTAAATGACGTAAGTAATTATCGTCCGATTACGTTATTATCTTCACTTGATAAAATTGTGGAAAATATGTTTGTGCTCAGATCCATGAGTATTATCGAAATAATGACATAATTAACAAAAATCAATATAGTTTTCAGACGGGTAAAAATACAACAATGTTGC